CCATCTGAATAAACTGTCAAATCTCTCTCCGTGGTGCTAGCGTTAAAAACAACCGCCACTTTTTTTTAAAATGTTCTTGTGGTTTTCACACCTGATGATGATTGCTTGTGTTGCAGTCGAAACGTCGTGAGAATTTCATTGTTTTATATTTTTATTATTTTATTGTTTCCCTTCTACGTGACTTTACCGAAAGAATCAAGAATATGAATCCCTGCAGTCATGAAAGCTTTATATCAAAACAAGAGAGTGTGGTTGAGGCCTTCACCCAACAGTATATTAAGGGATTGTAGATTATTATTTACCATAACTTTTACATGTAATATTGCATATGAACTGGTCATGTCAACGATCAATACGATATTTGTAAGAAACAGTCATTTACATGATACCGCTGGCAACCCTCCTCCATTCTTGCGGGTGCTGTGTCATCCGTTATGCGGCTGCAGTAAGGCAATGTGTGAGATAGCGACCACTAGCACCGTGTCACTGTCAGTTTCCTGGCATGCGTAACACAGAGATACAGCAAACTTCCCGTATTGTGCCAATATGCTCACGCGAACGATTCCAGCAAGTCCGTGTGTTTGCCTGCTTCGTCCTCTATGAAGGCCCATTAGTGCGATGTGCTTCGTATCCTGCTGTGCCGGGAAGTCCCATCAAATGTCCCTACAGATTGTTGTTTAAGGGGCCGTGAAGCTAAATTATATCTTGTGTTGCCGGAGCAAACCACGTAGATTTGTGAGATAATTGAGCACGTATCCGGCACGCTGTTCTCCCTCGCTAATGTTTTGTGAGTAGGTGGGGGGGGGGGTCTCTTAATTTAACATGCTGTAAGTGCAACAAATTGAACCAATTATGCACACTTATTTATTGTGCACAGTAATAGCAGCCATTAACTTTACGCAATAAACAAAACGAAATGCAGTACAGAATAAAGCGTTGTTTTCCTAGAAAATACGGTACACCATGGCTTATTAACATATGCTGCATTGCATTTTGTTGCAGAGTTGCCCTTCTCCAATGGCAGTGTTCTATTTGAGGCAAAATAGGACGTAGCGTAATATTTAAAGATATTATGTAAACACTGGATGCCGCCGTGGCACAATGATTCGCAGGCATGACTTGAAATTCAAAGGTCTTCGATTCGATCTCCCAGTTCGGGAGTTGAAACGGTGGACACTTTTCTCACATCGCCCCACCTCTGTACACGCAGCAGTGTGTGGTGGGGTGAAGGTTGGCTATCGCCATCTCTTCAAAGACGTCTGGCCCGTGTGGAAGAGTAGGCCCAAATTACCTCCAGTGAGGACGCTGGCGCTTCCGCAAGTGGAGGCCCACTTCGTCCAGCAGTGGCGTGGGCGGGCAATTGCGGCCCTGCACTTTTACCTTTTACCCAGCAGGTAAACGTTTAAAGAGCTTTCCATTCTGCTCCTTTTGTAAAGAGGCCATTGTTTGAGCATCTGAAACACGGAGCAGATGTGTTGCCCTCATTATTTATTGCACTGAAAAACAGTCGGGCGATTTTCCAGTCTGGCACATGGTAGGTGATCCAGAGAAAAGAATGGGGCGACATGCCTCTTGGGTTTGTGTTTACATGGATCATGTTTTTATTGTTGATATTTTTGTAAGAATCTTAAAATATTTAACATGGCCAACAATGAGAAGGCATTTTCTTTGTGATTGCGTGTGGCTCAAAGAACTCTTACATTTTAACAAAAATTCTTTGAAATATAATGGAAACAATAACCTGTGTTTAATATGTAACCTGTTTGAAATTATGTTTAGGTTACATATATTAAAGTTTTGGAACTTAAGTTTTAGCAAAAACTCATTGAGAGATGCATTGAATTGCCGTTCATGTGGGTCATATATACAATGTAGAGTTTATAGAGCATTTTTTCTGTTGCACTCAGGCCAATAATACAACGTTCATAAAACTGAACTTCTGATTTCAGAGAGATGAAAGCTGTATAGGGGAAGTTAGGAGTTGCTCGCAGAGGTGATGACCGGTGGTCGAGCTTAACAAGAGCGGCGACCGAAGAAGGGAGTGATAAAATAACCCCACGTTCTCTCGTGCTCGGTGGCTTGTTGCATTGTGGGACTGAAGGATGGTGATGGCTTGTTGCATTGTGGGACTGAAGGATGGCGATGGCTTGTTGCATTGTGGGACTGAAGGATGGCGATGGATTGTTGCATTGTGGGACTGAAGGATGGCGATGGCTTGTTGCATTGTGGGACTGAAGGATGGCGATGGATTGTTGCATTGTGGGACTGAAGGATGGCGATGGCTTGTTGTATTGTGGGACTGAAGGATGGCGATGGCTTGTTGCATTGTGGGACTGAAGGATGGCGATGGCTTGTATTGTGGGACTGAAGGATGGCGATGGCTTGTTGCATTGTGGGAATGAAGGATGGCGATGGATTGTTGCATTGTGGGACTGAAGGATGGCGATGGATTGTTGCATTGTGGGACTGAAGGATGGCGATGGATTGTTGCATTGTGGGACTGAAGGATGGCGATGGCTTGTTGCATTGTGGGACTGAAGGATCGCGATGGCTTGTTGCATTGTGGGACTGAAGGATGGCGATGGCTTGTTGCATTGTGGGACTGAAGGATGGCGATGGCTTGTTGCATTGTGGGACTGGAGGATGGCGATGGCTTGTTGCATTGTGGGACTGGAGGATGGCGATGGCTTGTTGCATTGTGGGACCGAAGGATGGTGATGGATTGAGGAGGCTTTCATCTAGCAGTGGATTGATTGTGACCGATGATGACGATGGTGAGAGTTGAGAATATATGCAAATAGATAAAAATTACTGTAATATGTATATGAGTGCAGTTTTTCTGTCTTGCACCAGATTGCTTGGCCTCTCTTGGGGAAATAGAGCCCTCTGAGTCAATCTGAACCAGGTTGACCATGCCTGCCTTCATTTGAAATCCCTCGGGGCTGTTTATAAATGCACATGAACAGACTTGATTTGTACTTTTCTTTTTGCAGTTAAACGACACTGGCAAGGGAAACGAACAGTTATTCTTTAAAATACAATTGCTTCCACATCTAAATGCAGCCGTACCTGCACTAAAGCTCTCCCGTGTATGCCGTCCGCTATTAAATTGGGATAGGAACTGGAGACTCGTCGGTGCGTTCATAAATATGGTCATTGCAAGGTCATTAGATGTGTGGTGGGCTGGCTGGCAGAGAGCATCATTAATTCATACTAAGCGTGGCTCAGTGCAGCTCATGATCCATTACGAGTTCCAATTTGACGGCGCAGTCCGCGGTGGTTAAGTGCTCGCACTCAAGACAGGCCTGCCAACAACAGATAACCGCTCGGTAAGCAAATTGCATCCAATCAGCACTTTCTCGTTGCCACTTGTTTTTTTGCCTTACGAAAGAAATCCTCCACTGGTTAGAGCGAAAATTGGAAGAACCCCCCCACTACATTGACTCCATCGCAAGCAAATTAGCGAATGCGTTGTCAGCGCCGCCGTCTTTTGGTGCAGCCTACTACCGCAATGTGCATTTTGCTCGTCGATATCGAATTGTCAACAAACCGGTCAAACGGCTGATGTGAATGCTTTTGTAATGATGCAAGTGCGACTCTTGCTCACGCTGAATTAGTACTTGCGTCTCAATACCATCACCCCCTCCCCGTTCACTTGTTGTTCGGTGCCGCGACGTGTCTGTTGCTACATACGAGGAGGACCTGTTTATCGCAACTCTTTTTTTCCATCCCACGTTCCGAATTTGCACGCTCTGTTTACACCCCCCCCCCCCCCAAAAAAAAGCACGCCGCACCATTAACGGAGGTTGCCTTATCTTCAAGTGCCGTATGTAGGGGTAATGGATGCGTCTCGGGGGTTTATCGTGCACGAACACAATGGGCGCTCTTCTGCTTGTATAGCTAATCCCTATTTATTGCTCAAGTTACCGTTAAATGTACACTGAATATGGGCGCGAGGCTTCCAGTTCACACTGCCCACGGCTATCGTGAGATATGTCTGGAATGTCGTAGGAGGGAGAAAAAAATGTGGTCGAGTGTTTGCATGCTATATTTAAAATGCACGCTACAAACGACATAACCATATAGTTTACGGTATTGTAGTGGAGTAATCTAGGACTTGTCCATTAGCCACTTCAATATAAACCATTTTTTTTCATATAGACTTCACCCTGTGGGGATTCACTGTAGAAATGGGCATTCAAGAATATTTTAATGCGGTAAGGATCCCTCATGTGTGAGAGACATGGCCCACATTTGCACATTACTCGCAGTGCCTGATGCCAAAATATGAAATTACCAAGTTCAGAGGGTTACTCTTTTTTTAATCACATTCGCTCTGCACAGGCCCAAACTTCCAAAATTGACAAATGGCTAGCAACATGCAGCACTTTTGAAAGTGTAACAGACACGAGTTAATGTGTCTTGCATTGAGCAAGGTTGTGAGAAGCTGGGAAAAGAGATGATGGGAGGGAATTCCTAAGTCGAGCAGTGCAATGAAATAAGCAGAAATAGAAGTGTGTTGACCTGCAGTACGGTGGTGAACACAGAGTGAATTTGACCAGGGCCATTCGGAGGAGCAACAAAAGGGGCAATTCGCCACTGGCCTCACACATAAAAGGACTCCGCCAAGGGCCTATTTTGTTGATGTTGCTAAGGAATAAGGGGGCCCCAGTTGGCATTCTGCTCTAGGCCTCCAGGAACCTCTGGGTAGCCTCGGATGAGATGAAACAGTCAGGCTCGGGGGGTCTGCAGCCAAAATAACAAGAAGAGGAATTTATTTAGAATTTATTTTTAAAAAAGCTCTATATTTCAAGAGCCACAATGCACGTGCATAACGGTCACGAAGCAGTCATTAAAAATCCGCGTGCGGCTCCGGAGCCGCACGTTGCTGACCCCTGGTCATGCTGGCAGGCCGAGTTGCCTCAGAGGTAACTGCAGTCTGACAAGTTGGCGCTACGCCACGCTTAAACCTCTCCCCCTTGCGTTGGCATTCCTTACAGGTGGTACAAGTTACACTCGAAAGCCGGGAAGAAAGAGAAGGACCGGGGCGAGGTGCAGCTTTCGACGCAGTTCATGAGGAACAACCTGACGGCCAGCATGTTCGACCTGTCGACGCGTGACAAGCCCCGCTCTGCCTTCGGCAAGTTCAAGGACAAGGTGAAGGGCAAGAAGAAGGGCAGCACCTCCGACTCCTCGTCGGCCATCGTCCCCGGCGTGCTGCGGATCGACAGCGAAAACGAGGAGGAGGATGTGGAGAGGGAAGAGGAGGTTAAGAAGAAGACGAAGGGCAAGAGCTTCCTGACGCTGCCGGGCATGAAGAAAACCTCGGTGACGCACTCCTCATCCTCGTCACTTTCCTCCTCGCACGTGTCCATCCCGTCCACCCCTGATCCGTTGTTGCCGCCGCTGGGACTCCCGTCCGGCCCGGGCGCTGGGGTCGGGGTGACAACCGTCATTACTCCCCCACCTGTTGAGCTGGCTCCAGAGCAAGACATGACTGGTGAGGATCTAGGAGCGGTCATTTTAGACATGTACCATACACTTCAGATGATATATAACAAAAACTTTTTCCCCCCCTCTATTTTAAAGCATAAGTTGATGGTGCATCTTATAATCGGGTAGGTGCGTGTGTGTGTCAGACCAGATTTGTATAACTTTAAACATCTTATCATCTAGACAATACTGTAATAGTGCATAAATAAAAATGTATTTTTTTAAAAACCTAGCTATGGCTAAGATCAATGGTAAGAGATGTTAACTGATCCTGTAAACCACCTCCTCACCCTAACCCACACTGTCCTGCGTCAACCTGTACACTCCCAAATACAGCATAGGAGTCGTTCAGCACCGGATTGACAAAGGGCTTGAAATCATTATTTTTTGATAGGTCATTCAATTGCCTTGATTTTTCAATCGTATTTATACAATATATTTCTTGAAAGTGATTTCTGGAGTGAATGCAAGACATCTAATCTGAAACATTCACCGTACACTATATCATTTATTTTTTCCAAAGAATGCCTAGCAATAAGGTTTTTTTTTGCCAACACATAATCTGTTCCCTCTTTTCATATGCACCTCTTTTAGGTAACGTTAATGCCATTCCGAATCGTTGCACATTCATCTTCCACTTGCGTTCTAAAACAGTAACGATTAAATCATTACTGTTTAGTATTATTTCTAAAGGTATTCTCACCAAATCCATTAATCCATCCAGATATTATTCACGTGCTATGATGAAACTGATTTCATGCCTATTACTCGACCGTCTGCTCCCTTTATTGTATTTTAAGCACCTAGAATTAGCAACACACTTATTGTCATGATACAAATAATTTACGATAAACAAATGAATTAAATGACACTACAGTGTTTATCAACACTGCCATAACTAGCAAATGTGTTTTCATATCCTACCAGAAGTTCTTCACTCCACCAACCAAGGCTTTCTGTTGCAGCAAGTGGGAGACCGCTCATTCTCCTATGCTGCTGCCCCTGTAGTCTTGAACTTCATTCACCCTGCCATCCCAACTCAAGACCTTCCTTTGGTTCCTCTGCCTATGACTGCATGCAGAAAGAAAAACAAATGGCCACTGTTTATGTGCAGTGTCTCGAAGATGCGGTCGCATCTATACACTGTATTAACCCAAGTTGTATCATACTCTGCGAAGTCTGCAGGGAATGGCGATCAATATTTTAATGTAAAATGTGTTCCGCAGGCAGCGTAGGTCGCAGGAGGACACAGAGTGCCGACATAACGATGGCCCTGCCCGTCAAGGAAGAGCGAAACCTCTTCGGGGGCCTGAAGCCGAAATCCGAGACGGCCTCCAAGTCCTCGCTGTGCATCAATGGCAGCCACTTGTACGTGCCGGAAAAGGGCGCAGCCGCCACAGGTGGGCAGAGCCAGGCCCAGCCCAAACCCAACATCGCCCTGTCACGATCCCTGCAGAACATCAATAACGCGGAGGAGCAGAAGCCCTCCATCCAGAAGACGGCTAGCGTGGGTAAGGCCGACGCCGTGGAAGCCAGATTTTTCGGGGACAAGAAAGCTGGCAGTGACAGAGTTCTGGAGTCGACCTCGGTGCCGGAACCGGGGAAGGATGGAATGCACAAGGAGTCCCGGAGGTCGCTAGACCTCAGCAAAGGCGTCGGTCTGGACCTGTTTGACAAAGTGAAGGCCAAGGAAGTAGAAGAGGGGAAAAAGGAGGATGGAAAGAAAAGTCGGCTGAAAATCAAGTCTTTTGTGACCGGGTCCAACAAATCTGAAAGTGCCAGTCGGAGCTCCAGTGGGCAAAACCTGGCCGAAGAGCTTGCTCATGGGACCACGTTCGGTTTTCATCGGGACCACAAAGACAAAGTTGTGAAAGTCAGGTATGTAACAAGTTTGCGCGGGTTTTCATTTTATCATGGCTTGCCAATTTTCCTTCCATCACTATGAGCCCATTATGCACCGTGTGTCTTGGCAAGCTTTGCAGTACCGGGCAATCGATAGGCCTTTTCAGTAGCTTGCATTAACCGTGCAAGGGCTGCTCTTTGCTAAATGCAGCGTATGAACATTTATATTAAACATAGTGCATAACGATTAGGTTGTATAATAGTGGCCTGAGACAAAATGTATTAATATATATAAAAAAGAATGCTTGCTGTTGATATATTAAATGAACATCATCAAAATAAGGTTATATAATGTAATATTACAGTGTTATAAAAACACGTTGAGAGGTACATGCTTGGAAATACATTGAGAGACAGGACGAACACATGCAAGTTTGAGGCATCACTGACTTTTAAGAAAAGCAAGTGGGCCTGAAATGGACATGTCACTTGAAGGCTTGGTGGGCGTTGGTTGAGACTAACAATAGCAGGTGGTAGCCAAAGGTGAGGACACACCTGACACCACGTCCGTCATGAGGATGGAGCAATCAAATGAGCTCGTGTGCAGGAGGTAGATGGGATTTTTCCATAGCAAAACTGAGAGATACTAATAGGGGTTTCCCCTTTTTTTCTGGCAACAAAACTGACACCTTTTGCAAGGAATCATGTTAACATTAACCACAATACTTGCAGTCAAATGCAAAAAAAAAAACAATACTCTGATAATTTATGCATTGTCCTTGAAACTGATTGGTCAACACCAGAGACAGCTTTTCTTAGAGCCTAGTCTCATACGGTGTTCGACCAGATGACGCCAAAAGGCGCACAGTTCAAAGACAACGCACTATCAGAGTAATGAGAGCTCGGGGTAAGCATCGACATCATGAGGCCTCCTTTGCCAGTACTAAAATATAGGGGGTTTTCCCCTTTTTTCTGGCAACAAAACTGACATCTTTTGCAAGGAATCATGTTAATATTAACCATAATACTTCAAATGCAAACAAAAAAGCAATACTCTGGTGTGGACCAATCAGTTTCAAGGACAATGCATAAATTATCAGAGTATTGTTTTTTTTGCATTTGACTGCAAGTATTGTGGTTAATGTTAACATGATTCCTTGCAAAAGGTGTCAGTTTTGTTGCCAGACAAAAGGGGAAAAATCCTATTAGTATATTTTGGTACTGGCAAAGGAGGCCTCATGATGAAACTGAGAGATGTCAATTGCTTGGGGCGTCCATCCAGCAGTGGATAGATGAGCGTGGCTGACGATGAAGATGTTACACTATTGAATCGTTTTGTTAAATTGTGTTTGCTGCAAATTTCACAAGTACATAGTTTGTGGTGGTGTCAGAATATTTTTTACAAAGGCTACACTGCCAGATGGTGTAGGGCACATGACTAAACATATACAATAAAAAAATGATGGCATGTCAAAAACAGCTGGGTAAATGTTGTCGATACATCTGAAAATACTGTAATGGGATATGTTTTGCGGGCATGAAACACATTTACGTATTCACGGGGGTGTGTTGCAGTCAATTCAATGGCATTATGCGTTTTGTTCCCTTATGTATTATTAATCAGGGCGATGTCGCTGACAACGAGCGGCATTAATATTTTATCGGCGCTCACACGTCGTTCGCGTGCGATAGTGACAATTTGGAAATAGGCGTGCGGGACCGTCCCGTCCGCTGACACCAACCCTAAAAAAGGTTGTGCAACTTTCCTGTTGTCTTCGCTTGCAAGTGGCACTGACACGGCTGCGGTGCCCGATAGCCAATATCGCGTTCGTTTGTAAGTGCCTATCAGAGGCTCTGGCAAAATAAGACGGTTTAGGCAAAACGAAATGAGTCATGAGAAAACAAAATGGATGACCCACACACAATGTCGTGGTTGTTCGGGGCAGAGACAAACATGGCATCGGATTCTGCATTCTGTTGAAATGCCACCAGTTCATTTTGTGGGGTAATGTGGAAATGCTTCAGAGCACTAGTAGGCAACCTGCGGCTCACCGGCCTGTCTTCGTTTCCTGCAGCCTGCAGGTCACTTGATCCCGGACCACTTTCAAGCAGCCTGTTAACGATATGTATCCTTCACTGCGATCCATTCTAGCCGCGCTAATCGGCTATTAGAGGGGAGGTGTTTTCAAGCTGTGTCAATACCGTGTTTCTAATCTGAGCACGCTCAGTCACTTCTGACACTGCCAGGGAGGGCCTCTTGCAGTGACAGAAGGAAATGAGGTGAGTGTGTTAGTGTGTGTACTTGCGTAGTTTTGTCCGTGGGGAGCGGTAGTGGAAGCGCTACAAACCCGGCAGCCCGAGTTCAATTCCCGTTCACGGCCAACTCCAGTGACGATTATCTGAACCGGTCATGGGCCTCCCCTAGGTCGACTCAGACTCAAATGAGTACTTGGTGTGGTGTGTAAACATCGCCACTGGGGAGACACAGGCAGCCAGGCGTGGTGTTGGCCACCCACCCCCGTGTGTGCCGTGCCGGCCTTCATAGGTGCTCGCTAACAGCACTTGCCCCAACAATCTGTACAGGCTATACGGGGGATCTTTGTATATGTGTGGCCTGCCAAAGGTATTTCAAAGTCACATTTGGCCCTCGGTAAGGAAAAGGTTCCCCACCCCAGCTGTCTGTAGAATGCAGCACAACGAAAAAATGGCATAAAATTACAAGGCAGTGATATTATTAAAGTCACGTAGAAGGGAAACAATACAATAATAAAAAAATAAAACAATAAAATTCTCACGACGTTTCAACTGCAACACAAACAATCATCATCAGGTGTGAAAACCACAGCAAGAAAAAATTTAAAAAGTGATACAAATTTATTGTTTAATATTTTTATTATTTTATTGTTTCCCTTCTACGTGACTTTACCGAAAGAACCAAGAAGATGAATCCCTGCAGTCACGAAAGCTTTAAATAAAAATTTAGTGATATTATTTTTCGTGTTTAACTAGGAAAGCCTCACTGAGTCTCATGATTCTTTTTAAGGAGCATCCTGCTAATTTTTCATGCTCAGGACAATGATTTATGTGTAATTTGCGTTGTAAGTTTTCAGTATGGCAAATTTGAACCATGATGCTGGCACACATTGACCTACTCTTGCAAATGACATCATAGGATCTTAAACGTCCACTGTGATACAACATTGCATGTTTTTTTATGATAGAACCCACGACCTCCTGTATACCAAGCGAGGTCATTAACATCTCACCACCGCGGCGCCCTCATATTTTAAATGACAATGGACGCCGTGGTATTAATCAGGGCGGGCGCTGGATTTGAACCATGAATATCTGCAATAAGCAGTGAACGCGCTAGCCGCTAGACTGCATCTTCTTAAATTACAGCACTATAAGTGCTATAAGTGCTATTATTTAAGTGCTGTTAAAGGCACACAGAGTATGATATGTAACCCATCATGCAAAAAATATATAATGCATCAAAATAATGTTTTCAGTGTGCAGCTACTTAATGCACCTAAAACCCCGTACAGTACTGTATTCTTAAAAGTGTTAATACATTTGCCATGAAAATAATACATTTTTTGAAACAACACACGTTTATCATATTTGATGTTATGGGATCATGAACAAATGGGATAATGTTCAGGTATTGGCAGGATTTTGTATCTCCCCGACATAGCGGTTCGAGTCACTGCTGGTAAGCTTGCCTTTAGTCTAGAATCCTTTTACAGCAGTACGCAGCTCACCATGTATCACATCAACATGCATCATCTTTTTTTACATTTAATATTCGCCATTTACTTGTGAGGTTTTCTTTGGACATCCTCGAATGCTTTTCTTCTTTAGAGTGCTCTGTAACACGATCGCTGTGCGATATGTATGGCCTTACTTTGGAACAAAATTGTTTCCATATGCGGCACAGTACTCTGGCTTGGGTTAGGCAACCTCTGTCAAACTTGGAACACAAAATTGGGAATATAACGGTTCTAAAATGTAGTATGCTATTTTAATGCTATGTTTTTGCTTGTATTCAAAGTAATTAAAATGTCAATGCAGTACAGGCGAATGTATACCTAATGTACTGCAGCTTATACGGTACAACTTGACCTCTTTTACATCTTTAAAAGAGAGCTTCATCACTCATCGGATTCCTCCAGTCTAAATCAAGATTCTGTATATACAGGACTATATAGTATGTACGATGCTAAATATGTATGTTATTGCAGGGAACGATGTTGTGTGTGTGTTTTTTGTGGCGCTAATTGAGGTATTAGCAGTGGTCAGCAACACTGCGCTCTGGACCTGGCCACCTGACGTTGATTTATGACCACAGCTCACATCAGTACAAGGCAGTCCCCTCCCCCCCCCCCCCCGAGATATGAATGTCCAACTTACGAACAGCCGCACTTACGAACGAACCGCTCTGAGGTGTTATTCAAGATGCCATTTAACCAACCGACTGACGAACGTTCGGTCGTACCAACGAACCCAACCGCGGACCTATGTTGTTCGGCGGAGGGATCGTTCACGAGATGTAATGAGTCCCAGCATCCTAGAAACGCCCATTCTGACAAGCAAGCCAGCATCAGGGCTCAATGCAAGTGAAAATAAAGTATATATATTTTTTTAATTTCATGCTTCTTTAATTTATGCAAATGTAAATCTTTCTTCTTATTTATGAGCTTAACAGTGTTTTCCCTCTTTTGTTGAACCATAACACATTTTATAACACTGACCGTATGTACAATTAAATATTGAGTTCCGAGATAGGAAAAAAATCGACTTACGAACGGGTCTCAGGAACGTAAGCCGTTCGTAAGTCGAGGACTGCCGCGTAATATTTAAACCAATCCTGGACACCCTCTTTACAATCTTCCTTCTTGACCAGCGGTATTAAACACCATTGGTGCGTGAATGACACTCAAACATTAATATTTCATCAAAGTTTGATATCGTCTTTGACGCTGTGCTTTGGCGATATCAAAGATTGTTTTCAGTCTTAATTTCTTACAGTTCAA